AGAATAATAAATTAACTCAATACCGTTGTAAATATGCCATTTAGTTAATACCTAAGGGTTTGTTTTGGATTATATCGAACATCGCGTCGGCGTCGGTCGATTGCAGTTTTGAAATAGTTTATTTTTCATGAAAGCGTCGCTATGTTATAACTACCAATTGAACTGGACGAGTGTAATTCACTGATTCGTAAAAAAAACAAAAAAACCTGAGTGGATTTGAGTGATATATTTTTATGAAAACGGAAAATCAAATTAGTTGTTATAAAAGCATCCAAAGTAATGGAGTATTTAGTCCATAAAATCGGTCAAAAGTAAAATATATAAACGATCAAAAAATCATTAAAAAACACTTCGCGATCTCCTCAATGATGGTACTAGTTTAAACCAGTTATTACTGGATCGCCGGCATTAGTACCGTTTCAAAGCAGATAGTCCGAATCTAGGCAAAACTGCATTTGCTCCTCTCGTTACCAGTACGTTCCAAATTTTACTAAAATTGCAGTGGGTGTAATACGCTATCTTTCGTTCTTTTGAGAAAACTTTTGTGATGAGTTCTGAAGAAGAAAGTAAGTAATTGCTAATGATGTATAATTTGAGCTTCATTTTAACATATGAACTGTTTTTTTATCTGTCTTTAATTTAAATGTCTACAAAGTACATTTTTGCAATGTATGTGTTTATATTCCAAGTGTTTTAGTATTGTGCCGTGTACGATCGAGTTGTATATCCTATTTTTTAATAAACTGTGACTTATGTAGAATAATGCAAGTATAATATTTTCCCCGTCTGTCCACATTTTTTAACCTTTCAAATTTTAGTTATAAATGTATATTTTGTTCAACAAAAGTAAGAAAATATAAAAAATAAATTAAAATGTGTGACATATTTTGTGTCAAGATCAATGTCATTTTTGAACCAGTGGGAACAATTTCGCTAAGAAAAATCGCATTTCGCGTGTATAAGGATCCTCTACTGACTACTCACATATTTCAGACTTTATCATTGTATTTACTTTGCAAAGAGTGGAAAACGAAGTTTAACCGAAAAACTAAATTTCGTGGAGCATCAACTTCGGGAAAGAACAAATTGTATCGAAAGTAAGTCTCAAATTCTAAGTCATCATTTAAGACATTTTAAATCCGACTTTAAACAAAGATGGTCTTTGAAAAATTACACAGAAGAACTTTTCTTAAAAAAAAATAACGCTGATTGGAGGCATTCATATCTATCCACACTTGGCCATCACGTGCTTCTTCCAAACCTCGTCGACCACAAAAGTTGTTCTCAGAATTGACTGACGGAAGACCTTCGGAAGCAAGTATCTGTGGAAGAACTGACATACGCAGCTAGCGTCAGCCAGCGAACTTCGGGAAACTCGGATGCATCTAAAATTATAAAAGATGTCACAGCGACTCCTACTCGAGCAAAAAAATTAGAAACGCAATCAAAAAGAAAACTAAAGGATTTGTTAAGCATACGCCTGCTGAAGCCCTATGCCTATTTGTTCATAAGGGTTTGACAAAGAAACAGTACGAAATACTAAGAGAGTCCAATACCAATATATATCCCAGCTACTCCTTAATTAAAGAAGCAAAGAAAATGTCCTATCCGAGTGAAGAGTCAATGAAAGTAACCGAGACTTGTGCAGAAGTTTGCCTTCAAGACCTTCTTGATCACATAACATCAAGACTCTGCCAATATTTAGGGGAGGACGAAATGCCACAGATTGAGTTAATCTCGAAATGGGGTTGCGACGGCTCCCAACATTCACAGTTTCAACAGAGTTTTAATAACTTAACAAGTGATAATTCCAATATGTTCCAAAGCTCTATGGTGCCCCCAAGGTTGCAAGTCCATACTGGAATTTACAAGAAAATTATATGGCATAATCCCACACCGTCATCAACAAGATTCTGTCGGCAAAAGAAGAAATAAAATATATCGAAAATTTGCAAACAAATCTCTAATGGAATGATACAGGTAAAACATACGATGATACCTACAATGGTTGACGCCAAAGTTTGTAATTCGGCTACAAATACGAGCTCTACAATGAAATGGTACATTTGTGGAAAAACCCGAAAAATTTTAACGACTTTCAAAACACAAATGTCGAAAATTGATAAGCTCTGTTAAGGAAACGAAACAAAAAATGCAAAAGGAATTTAAGGACCGAATAAGATTAATAATAGAATGCCCAAGGCAGGTTTCGGTAATTCAAACTCCGGAAAACGCTTCCAGCCGATTTTTCAGTGACCCCGAAACAGTTGCAGAAATCACGGGTATTGACCTATCTTTATTTACAAACTAAAAGTAATACTAGAAGATTTGTCATCTGGTCACAAAATAGATGAGATTAAGTTTGCAGAATTTGCAAACGAGACTACGGAAATTTATACGAATTTATATGGATGGTATCTAATGACCCCGACACTTCATAAAATCCTTGTGCATGGGGCGACTGTCATAAAATATGCCATTGTTCCTATCCGAAGAGGCTGCAGAAGCGAGGAATAAAAATTTTCGGTCGTATAGGCAGAATTAGTCTAGGAAATTTTCCAGAACCCTCAGCAACAAAGATGTTTTGCAGAGATTATTGCTCACATCAGGCCCTTTTATTAGTAAAAAGAATCAAACACCATTTGTGCCTGAAAAAACACCTGACAATGCAGACGTTCACGGGGCAGACAGTGATAACAGTAATTTATTTCTTTAAATTTATTATGCATTTTTTGTTTAATTACATAAAAAATCTAAATAATTTTTAGTAAGTATCTACACTAATTTTCATCGACACTTATTTGTATTTTGTTAATTGCACTTTTTTTTTTAATTTATGTTGTTTTTTAAGTAATGGTACCTATTTACCTAATTACAAAAAAAAATACCAAAAAAATCACCAAAATGTTTTTGATTACCTACTTATCTCCATCGACATTTTCAAATTTATCGTTCAGAAATATATATGTACCTACCTACTTATAAAACTATCAGCATTATTTTTATTACACTAGTTTTTATAGATATTTGCATTTTTATTTAAACTAAATCAAATTTACCTGTTAAATATGTTTGACCGAATTTTTTTATCAAATACTCCTGTGTGCGTTGCGTCGACGTGACTGCAACAAACGTTCGCGAGCACTGACCCTTAAAATGCGGATGTTACTCGGAATGTTATTTCATCTTGTAAATCTGAACCATTTATCACGATATCTGCATTAAATATGTTAAAATACTCGATAGGCATTTCTTACTAAAGTTACGTTAAGAAATATTTTATTAAACTCGGATTACATGATGCATCATTTATAAAAGTATTTAAAATACATATGTGGTTGAGTCATAAAAATATTTGGTTCATCTACATTGGCCTGGTGTAACTACCCGTTTTCCAGATGAAATTTTGTATAAGTAGGTTAAGATCGAACTTTTTGTTAAACCTTAGGGACATTTCTCTGACCGTGCAGGTCCTCTTTAAAAAAGTATCTATAGATTTTAGGTTTTTGTTAGTTGTAAGAAATCCCATTTTTAAGGTCGTGCATGTAATCGTTAAAATAATGATTAATATTATTTTATTCTCGGAATTAGTTTTATATTTATACTTCACCTTGTTATAATAATTTTTATATATATCCGCACTTCTAATACCCCATATGCATCTTTATATTGTACATTTTTCTTTTAGTTTTTATATATAAAGATTTTTAAAGATAAAATTGAATTAAATCGCCATGGTGCGAATTTTTGATTTTTGTTAATTTTTCGTACCTTGTGCAAAGTTGCAAATTTACCAGATTGTTAAGAAAAGTAATATTTACAACAAATTTTCAAAACTTTTGCATTTTTATTTTTGACCAACTTAGAGGAAAATAAAAGGTTGCAAATTGGAATAGCTGTTTCAAAAACTTGTATGAGTTATGTCATCGGTTTGCAGCACTTTTGCAATTCTTTTGTCAATGATATAAACAAAAACGCTATTTTATAAAAAAAAATCATGTTCCGGACTTTCAAAAAAGTTGCAAAATAATACAGTATATATTGCTTCAATTTTGCAACAATTTTGCAATTTTTTTAAAAAACTTATAATAAATTTTAATTTTTTAGAATTATTAATATGTTCCAGACCTAAGAAAAAGTTACAAAATTAAATTTACAATTATTTTAATTTAATAAATATTCCAACAAAGTTTCCAAACTTTTGTAACTAATGTTATTGATTACCTCTAAAGACTGGCCTAATAAATGCACAAAATATTACTCGCAAAGTACATGAATAGGTATTTTATGTTTTTCAATAGAGTATCCTTAATTTTCTCGTTATTAAATTACACTGGTAAACCAGATAAACTATAGAAAACAATATTTTTTGATCTATAGTATCATAAATTCATGTCAAAATAACATGTAATACAATTTTCTCTTAAATCGGACGGGTTCGGAAATATTCGGCTTAATATGTCACTATAAAAAATTATTTTCGCCAATAAATCTTTATTATGTTATTAAAAAAAATAAATAAATTGTGATATATATCTGTATCAAGCAGTTCTAGATATAGATAACTAAGCTAAATGTCAATATCTCCCCCTGCTTTAAAACTTCTTAAAAGAGTACTTATCTCCATAAAAAGTGAAATTAACTATAATTTAGATTAGAATTACAGTTGAATGTCGGTAAACAAGGGTGTTATTTACTAGACATTGTAGATATGAACTAATGAATTGTAAACATTTTACTGTCGTTTAAAAAAAAAGACAGTTAACAAAACTATTTAATACCTAACAGTCACGAATTTTTACGTGTAAATGAAAATTCCAATAAATTCTTTCATTTCTAATCACACATTTATAAATAGCGAATAAAAATACCATTACACTATTAATTACCCATTATCAGAAGTTTGCGAAATAACAAAACGATTTAGGACTGTAAAATAATAAAACCATTTTAAAATACCACCCAAAAAATTTAAAGAAAAAATATATTAATGAACTTACCCGCGGGATGAAAATCTTCAGAAATTTTATTGTTGTACGCTGGATGTTCATTTGACGACCCAGCTACTGGCTCTGATTCTTCTTTAATCTTACTGTCATCCATATCCATTTCATTTTTAACACTACTATCTGAATTATTGCCTGTGAAATTGTCCATTCCCATCTTCACTTCCAACATCTCCGGACTGCCCTGCACGATATCTTTGTCGTAATCATCTGGACCATTAGAACAACCAGAAAGTTTCCGAGGCCTGCCTCTTTTCCTTTTCGGTTGCAACAAAGCATTACTTAACATATTCAAATTGTTTCCGAACCTCTTTCCTTGCTGTAGTCTTTGTAAATTTGGCAAATTTTGTAAATTTTGTTGTGTGAGCGAGGAAGCTATATTATCACATTTTTCTTCATTTACTTCCGTTAAACCCTTTATCCTCAGGCTTTCTGCCACTCTTAAAAAGGCCGTTAGTCTATCCTGATCTACGCTAACTTCCCCCCTGTACATAAAATCCAACAAACATCTCATGTCAGTATAAGGTACATCCTTTAATATCACAATGGGGTGCTTATCGGGATGATTGATAAACAAAGCCTGAAAGTACGGGCTGCAAGCCGACAACACCATTTTATGCGCCTTGAGTAACTGTCCTTCGACAGCTAAAGTTACATCGACGAAACTTTCATCGTGAAGTAACTGATCGAATACTGATAGTAAATTGGACTGATGATTATTCCACCTGAGACAAAAACGTTGGGAAGACATGGCTGGAGCTGTAGATGCTATACCAGGTTTGTGATACGGGATTTGTTGTGGGTGGTATCGATAAGGTAGACTTGACATTGGCAAAGGGATTTACTAGTTCCGGAACACACTGAAATTAAAAAATATTTATATATAACATTTAATAATACATTGAATTATTTGCAATCATATCATAGGACAAAAAAATAAAAAAATTGGTGCCGGAAATCCAATAACTGATTTTAGATATATTTAACCTTTAATTTGATTTTGTCCCTTATAAGGTACGCAACTTTCAAACTTTGAAAAAGTCAAATCACAGTAATTATTTACCAAATATTTTATGTCAATTGTGTTGCCTATATATTAGTTTAGTATTGAAACTTATTAGATGCTTGGTTACCAAAGATTGTGTAAACATAACCTATTTTAATTATGACATGTTTGCCGGTAAACGGCCTTGAATAAATCGTTGGGAAGTAGTATGGAATATTTTGGTCAATTGTTGATTTTTTTGTTATAATTGTAGTGAAAGTGTTAAGTAAAGGACTATTCTTGAGTTTGTGTTTATAAATATTTTTGTACAAACAATCCAAAGTAGAATAATTAGGGCAATTGTTAAGATGTATATTATAGTTTACACGTCAAAGATACAGCAATTTGTTTTTTTATTATGTATCCTATAGTTCACATTGCCATAGAGTCAAAACCCGAGAATACCGATCAAGGAGAAGCGACAGTAGCTGTCGGTGCCTTTGATATCGGATGTACCTTTTTCACAGTATGACTTTGACTGATACACAACTTATTATTTTCTACACTGAGCGAAATAGTTTGGCAAATTATCTGAAATTATTGTTATAGTCCATGCGCAAATGTTGCAATGTGATTTAATTACATTGAAGTAGTTAGGGTTAATAGCAATGCTGAAATTTCGGCACCAAAATATAATTCATTATGTAATAATTATTTATTATAAAAGTAAAAGACGTTTATTATTTTATAATTTATCTATAAAATTTGTTCAATATTTGGTTTATTTATTGTTAAAAATGTAATAAAAGCCCCATATTTAAATTAAATTACCTTTTCCTTAACTAAAAATAAGGTAAATAAAATTAAGGGTGTCAAAAAAAATTTAGGTAACAATTAAAAAGACATTAAGTTTGAGAGGTTTAACTGAATATTTGCAATGTGCATATATTTTCAAAGCTTTTAGGTTTAAAAAGTACTTACATATTTTTAGAATTTGTAGATTTATATTATATTAAAAGGACTTTCAAGTTTATCACTCGTTTCTGTAGAAACAAGTGTTTTCTCGCCAAGTTAAACCAGATGTCATTTAAGGTTTATGTATTTAGAGTTAAATACCTGGCCTGGCTATTACCCAGACAATACAAATATGTCCATTGGACGTCCATTCGATATACAATTTTGGATGTCTAGACGTCCAAAAATGAGTTTTCTGGACTTCCGACATCCAATGGACGTCCAGTAAAGTATACAAATGGCACACTTTTGACCATTCAGAGGACGTCCAATTCTGGAATATATTTGGACGTCGAATACTGGACATTCAAAAAACGTCCAGGATTATATTTCCATTGAGACCACATCCCCACTTTTTTACAGAACCGCAACTCACCACACACTATTTTATATTATTAATAATTTATTATTTTCGCAAATCGCTATACACCATTTATTTATTTTTTACTAAAAATCGCTTGACCTAAGCAGGGATCGAACTCACGACACATCCATTATCGTTTTACGCTTTCAATCGCTACCAAGGAACTACTTGAAAACTTTTTACTAAATACAATTATAATTGAATAAGATTTCAAACTTCCGCTGATAAAATGAAATGCAATAGATTCAATTTGTCAATTTTTAATGACTAGTTATATTAAAAAAAAGAAGTATATATCGATGGGTATTATCTGGTAGGCTTAATAAATAATGACCGTCCACTGGACGTCAAAATACTACTAAACTTAAAATTAAGTCCAAAAACAGACGTTCTCTGGGTATCAATATTCAGCTGTCAATTTAATTAGCATAAACTGACGTACACTGGATGCCCGGATATGGACGTCCTGACCCTCAAATAGATCTAAAGTGGACGTCCATTGGACTATGTGTGCATAGACGAATTTTTAGAAATAGTACTTATTTAAGTATGCACCAATATTTCCAAAATCAACTCCAGTATGATTTATTCAATAAATGTAAATATGAATGGGCAAAACATCTTTATATTGACATAATTGTAACTTACAATTTAGCCATAATAAAGGGATTTTGCCCACTTTGACCAATCCTAATTGAAATACGCGAATTTATTATATTTTTTTAAATATAATTTCAAAATAAAATAAACAAAATCTGCAGTTCATTGTTTATTAAATTTATTTAAAAGAAAAACATATATTTCACAAAATACAATACCTACATATGAAAAATAAAATGTCAAAAATGATTAAATCATTATACTTAATATTTATGCATGTGATAAAATTCTTAGTTTCCTAATAACTTTTTTGGCACATTTTATATCTGTATTAGAATACCTAAGTGTGTAAAAATCTTCATCTTATTACTACACAAAACAAACACCAAAAAATATCACTTAACATTGCTCACGTACCTACTAAACACAACTTGGACTGACTTTGACAGATAACATAATTTTGAGTGATACACAACTTATTTTCGCACATGCGCGTTACAAAACGATACACTGAAAACACCAAGCTGTCGCTTCTCCTTGATCGGTATTCTCGGCTCGGAATATTAAAACTATTTTGGATTTTATCCAACAGTATACATTTTTAAATATCAAATTTTGTTTCTATTGGGTGATTTAATATTTTTAACTAGTTATCTCAAAGGTAAGTTGTTTATGTTAATTATTTTGTTTTACAGTATTAAAGACATAATGCAGTCGTCCAGATCCCGAAAAGTTTTTGCGTTACTTCCGCCCCCATCATCTGATTTGGATGAATCCTATGACGAAGAAAATAGCGTATTTCTTTGTGAATCTTCTAGAGATAAGAGCGACGCAGAACGTGAGAGCTCTGAAGCAGTTAGTTTACCCCTGAAATAGAAGAAATTTTTGATCAACTATTCGATACTGATACAGGCTCCGAAGCTGAACCAGACCAAATTCCTGAGTTAAATTCAAAAACTTGGCCAGAAACACCTAAATCAGTATTCAGTCCCTTGAAAACAAGATCAAAACACAAAGAGTTTAGTCCAGTCATTGAAAAAGCAGAAAAGGTTGGCATTCAGCCTAAAAAAACTAAAACAAAAAAATGAAAAACTCGTTGAGTATATTTGGTCCAAAGAAGAATTTGAATATCCCGTAAATATACCGGAGAATAACTTTTCAGTTCCAGAAGAAATAAAATCGCCATTAGATTATTTCAAGATGTTTTTTCCGAAGACTTATTTACACTTATTGTCGAAAATACTAATTTATACAGTGTTCAAAAAACAGGAAAGTCTATTAATATTACTAATGACGATGTTAGGGACTTTCTAGCCATACAGATTTGGATGGGAATAATAGATATGCCATCATACTTAGACTATTGGAGTATCGATTTCAGTTATGCCAAAATATCAGAAATCATGCCCCTTAAAAAATATCAACAAATTCGCCGCTTTATGCATTTTGCTAATAATGATCATATAAAGAGTGATCAGTATTATCGGATAAGACCTGTTTTAGATATAATTAGAAGGAATTGTATCAATATCGAAGAAGAGACACGACAGAGCATTGATGAAATGATGGTTCCATACAAGGGCAAAAAGGCAGTCTAAACCAAAAAAATGGGACTAAAATATTTGTCATGCAGAGCTGGTATTTCAGGGTTGGTTTACGATTTTATCATCTATGGGGGAGATGACACATTTACAGAACATATTTTTTCGGAAAAGGAATAATCATTTGGCGTTGGAGCTAAAGTTGTTCTGGCTCTAACGGAGTCTATGAAATTTCCGGCGTTGTCTGTTATATATGGCGACAATTTTTTCTCATATTTTGATTTGCTCTACACTCTTCGACATCAGTATGGGATTTTAGCACTGGGGACTGAGAGCAAATCGGCTAAAAAATTGCATTTTGGAAGAAGAGAAAATGTTGAAGAAAAGTGGTAGAGGAGCGTTTTCGTATGCAAGTGATAACACTAATAAAATATTTAATATTAAATGGTTTGACAACAAAGCAGTTATATTGGCAAGTACGTATGTCTCTTCTACACCTGTTAGAACCATCAAACGGTACGACAAAAATCAAAAAGGAATAATTGATATACCATGTCCAAATATTGTAAAACACTACAATTCTCACATGGGTGGAGTTGATCTAATGGACATGTTGATTAGCCTATACAGAATTCCTCTAAAAACACGCCGCTGGTACCTTTCAATATTTGGGCAAATGATAGACATTTGCATAAATAATACTTGGTTAATGTATCGTAGAGATAAAAAAAGCCTCAAGGATAACTCAAAAGAACACAGTCTAAAATGGTTTATAAATTGTATAACAGAGGGCTTACACACAAAGGGCAGAATAAATAATAAGAGGTTACTTTCTGAAGAGGACCCAGGAGTTAAAAAAATAAAAACTGCTATTCTTTCAAGGCCATCTAATGACTCGCTATGATAAAGTGGATCATTTTCCAATTTATGAAACAAAGGGCAGATGCCGGCATTGTCAATCTGGAAAAACACACTGGTCCTGTTCCAAATGGTCAGTTAGGTTGTGTTTAGTTAAAGAGAGAAACTGCTTCTACTATTTCCATAATGAACATATTTTTGAAAATTATTTTTTTATTTTTACGTAATTATAATTTTTTTTATTAAATAATTGTTTTTGTTTTACTTTTAGTCGCAATTCTGGTTTTAACTACGTACCCTATAGGACACAAAATAAAAGAATCCATTATTATCTAGACCTTTAGTAATGTGCATTATAGGGTACATGTCATATTTGACAGATTAGTAAAATAATAGTCGAAAAAATGGCAAAAATGCTTTCTTAGACACTCAACGCACCAGCAAAGGTCATATTTTACACAAAAAAAAACTTATTAATTTAAGCTTGCCAAATTAAGG